GCTGTGACTTTAAGAGGTGTGTTTTGTCCTGGTTTCTTTTAGAGAGAGATTTGGGGGGCAGGTGCCGAGCAATCTGAGAAGATAAACAACTTGTGAAGCCTTGGGTTTTTTTTCCCCGAAAAGTTGGAACAATACAAACATCCTGAGTGGGTGTTGTCAAGCTCCCACCCACAGAACCAGGGATTTTAGGTTTTTCAGTAGCTGAAACTGTTGTGGTTGTGAAAAGCTATAACATTTCTCTTTGCTACAGCTGAAAGTGGCAGTTTTCTTTCCATCAGCATTGTTTTCTGATGTTCTTTCCTCCTGGTTTGGAGAACTGCATGTGAGGCAGTCTGTGTTCTGAATTTGCTTTTTGCCAAGCGTGTGTTTATGGGACATTGCTTTTTTGCAACAGTTAATTAGTAACAGTTACTCTACCTATTGTTCTGTTAAGTTTTCCAATAGATTTATGTTATTGAAATTCCTTCTTTGTTTTGTATTTTAACTACAGTGGATGAATAAATTGTGTTTTGCTTTAAATTGATATTTTGACCAAATTGCATTTGCAAGCATATCTTACATTTGCCTTTAAAATAAGAAAAGGTTAGGGTCTAGACAATCTTATAAAGCGTTTGACGAGGTTTGGTCTGGGCCATAACAAACTAAACCAGTAACAGAAGTAATACTCCACCATGGACAAAGAGACTTGGGGATTGTTGACAGCTCTTCAGCATTTTGATGTCTGTATTTTCCAGATACATGGAAACAAGGAAACACCGATTTATACTGAAAGGAATCCATGAGCATTCAATGTAAAGATTAAAAATCAGAATGCGCTACTATTCAGATACAGCCTTTTGGTGCAACCATCTCAAGTCAAAAACCTGTTCTTATTAATGACAAAGATAATATGATTGTGGATACATTATCCTGAATGTTAGATTAGGTTAAAATTTAGGAAATTACTTGACATCAAACAGCAGAGGCAGTCGCGTTGCAGATTTACTGCTGGGTCAGACAACACTGTAGGTTTCTTTCTCCATTTGAATCCCTTCCCATCTGGTCACTGCCACTGACTTTGTCTGTCTTTCTCCTTTTTTTTAAAGTGCTGTTGCTTTGATCCTTTTTTTCTCCCTAAAGTTGCAAAACAATGCAACAACTTATAAGACAATAACTACTACTCTTAGAATTCGAGGAAATGAGCTTCAACACTGAAAATACCTCATAAAAAAAAGAGCAGCTCTTACAGCCACAATTTTTTCCCATCCTCCATTTCAGATTACCTAGAATCTTCAGACAGTTTAGATCATATGGAATGCCAGGAGAACTAACCATTTGGATACAGAGCTAGCTCGAAGGTAGAAACAGAGGGTGGTCGTGGAGGGTTGTTTTTCAGACTGGAGGCCTGTGACTAGCGGTGGACCACAAGAATCAGTGCTGGGTTCACTGCTTTTTGTCATTTATATAAATGATTTGGATGTGAACATAGGAGGTATGGTTCGCTAAGTTTGCAGATGACCGCAAAATTGGAGGTTGTTGGACAGCGAAGAATGTTACCTCAGGAGTACAACGAGATTTTGATCGTATGGACCAATGGGCCGAGGAGTGACAGATGGAGTTTAATTTAGATAAATGCGAGGTGCAGCATTTTGGAAAGGCAAATCAGGGCAGGAGTTATACACTTAATGGTAAGGCCCTGGGGAGTGTTGCTGAGTGAAGAGATCATGGAGTGTAGGTTCATAGTTCTTTCGAAGTGGAGTCGCAGCTAGAAATTGGATAGTGAAGAAGGTGTTTGGTATGCTTGCCTTTATTGGTCAGTGCATTGAGTATAGGAGCTGGGAGGTCATGCTGTGGCTGTACAGGGCATTGGTTAGGCCACTATCGGAATACTGCATGCAGTTCTGGTTGCCCTCCTATAGGAAGGATATTGTGAAACATGAAAGGGTTCAGAAAAGATTTATGAGGATGTTGCCAGGTTTGGAGGATTTGAGCTACAGGGAGAGGCTGTATATGCTGGGGTTATTTTCCCTGGAGTGTCGGAGGCTGAGTGGTGACCTTATAGGGATTTATAAAATAATGAGGGGCATGGATAGAGTAAATAAACGAGGTTTTTTCCCTTGGGTGGGGAGTCCAGAACTAGAGGACATAGGTTTAAGGTGAGAGGGGCAAGATTTAAAAGGGACCTAAGGGGCAATTTTTTCACACAGAGGGTGATGCATGTATGGAACGAGCTGCCAGAGGAAGCGGTGGAAGCTGACACGATAAAATTTAACAGGCATCTGGACGGATATATAAATCGGAAGGGTTTAGAGGGATATGGGCCAAATGCTGGAAAATGGGACGAGATTTATCTAGGACGTCAGGATGGCATGCACAAGTTAGACCGAAGGGTCTGCCTCCGTGCTGTACATCTCTATGACTCTAAAGTGAAAGTTTTGGGTTAATATAAGGGGAGAAAGAAGAACAAATGGGTCGAAGTCTAACATTATTTTATAACGGAACACGTTTTTGAAATGGGATTTCATTTTCCTCAAGGATGGAGGCACCTAGGAATTGTGACTTTTTATGTGTGTCTTTAAAAACTCTGGACTGCAAGGAGAAAGGGCTGCTTTTAAAAACCAGGATTTACCAGGACGGCTGCATGATTTCACAACAAGGATTTCAATACATACTGTGAACTCTGTATTTTGTGGCTATGGGTTCCTGCAATGTGCCGTTGATCAGGAGCCAAGGAGTTACTTCTGAGTGAAGCTGATTTGTTATCAGCTAACAAAGCAGTTTGGAACTGGTAATAAGATCCTGAGACACAGAGGGAGGGAAAGACACCGACAAGTGTGTTGTTGTTGGCAGAAGCTGCCTGTTCTCTGCAGTAAAAAATGAGTTTAAACTAGTTACTGTTTCTGCAGCAGTTGCTTGGTTGTGATTTTTGAATTGATAAATCAGAGATGTTTTCCAAGTGAATCGGTTACTCTATTTCAATCAAACCACTGGAACAAGAGAAAGACAGCCAAATACCAAGAGCTTGGTTAAATGAAGAAGGATGATCTCAATATGAGAAACAGGTAGCAAAGACTGACATTCCTTTTATTAGATCTCCACCTCTCATCTAGTTTATCTATTTGTTTTTCTGTTAGTTTGTTTCTAAGGAGGAGCAAATAAGGGGATTAGAGTTTCACTTAGTAGTATTATGTGTCAATGATTTATATCTGTTTATTACAGTGTAATTATTTTCTAGAAATTTCTTGTTTAGTACAGAAACCTGTTCAATGCTTTCTAACAGCCTTGGTCTGAAAGTCAGGTAAATTGGGGTACTGTTCATATCTTAAAATAGACTTTAACGTTTGGTATGACCCCAGGAATAGTGTGTCTCAGTTTACAGCACACTACCCCAATAGGTTATAACTGTACAGAGGCAAGGAAATTGGGGTTAAGGGAGAAAAGAACAAAAGGGTATATCTGAGATTGTGTGGGGTAATAAAGTCACAAAAAGAATGATAACGCAAAGCAACACAGGATGGGAAAGGGGCAAATAAGGAAACAATAATGGATCCAGAGGAAGGAGGAATGGTCATTGAGGATTCTGCTGTCTGAGAAAAAGTTAGAGAATCTAAAACTGAGGCTGTAAAGTTGCAAGGTGTGAACTTTATAGATATGTTTCTTAAACTTCCATGGAGCTTCATTCATGTAAGAGGCCAAGGACAGAGATGTTCAAGTTCACGTGAGAATTAAAATCATAAGCACTGAAAACATGGTCATTCTTGTGAATTGAGTAAAGGTGTTCAACAAAGCAATCTCCCAATCTGTAGTCTATCTCCTCAAGATAGACGAGACTACATCATGAATAGCGAATGCAGCATACTGTCGAGCACAAGTACACATAAGTTGCTGCTTCACCTAGAGATGAGTGTTTGAGTAAAGGGAAATGAGATGAAAGCGTAGATATTGCATCAGTTAATGCATATGCACAGCTTGCACTTAGGCTTTATACATTGGAATATAAATTGTATGGAATAATGAAAGAACCCATTGGGAATATTAGCAGGAAGCCAGGAAATTCAGATTAATGTTTCAGTAGTCAAAAGCCCTGGAAACTGCTAATCCCCGTATACAATCATTACTAGGCTAGTGATGCCTACGATGTCTTGACCAAATTCATTCGATGGTCAAAGGCTATATACCCAAAGAACAGGCACCCCATTTCCCAGCTTTTTTAATGTAGAGAATTTGGCAGCAGATGTGCATTTGACGAACTCTTGGAACAACACCGTGACAGTAACTAATAGCAATTTTTTTATTTAGGATATTAACTGAAAGATAAATATTGGCCAGGACACTTGTGTAACTTCATTGGTTATCTTCAGAATAATGCCATGCATTTTTTACATCCATGAAAGCGGGCAGATGGGGCCCTTCATTTAGATATTTCATCCAGAATTTGGTACCTCTGTCAGTGTCGCCCTCCCTCAGTACTGCACTGGATTGTCAGCTTTTGAGTTTTGTGCTGCAGCCTTGGAGGGATTTGAACCTAGAAGCTTGTAATTTTGAGGTGAGTATGCCATGGTTGCCATATTTATTTTATCCCTTCAACAATATGTGTGCCATTTGCTAGGCCAGCGTTTATCGCTCATCCCTCACTGCACTGGAGAAGGTGATGGTTAGCTGCCTTCTCTGCTATTCTGGGAGTGTAGGGACACTCAGCGCTTTTAGAATGGGAGTTCCAGGATTTTGACCCAGCAACACTGAAGGAATGATATATTTCCAAATCAGAAAGGACATGGTTTGGAGGTGAACTTGTGGTGGTGTTCCCATGCATCTACTGCTTTTGTCCTTCTGGGCGTTTTTAAACTTTGGGTAATTTTTATTTGTTTTGCCATGACCAACATCTAAACAATCCTTTTATAAGCTTGCCAAATGAATTTAAATACATTCCAAATGAAGCAGTTTTCATGGTTTGTATTATCAAGCAGCACAGTTTTAAATGGAGGAGATCCCAACAGTTAACCTCTGTTTCTGCTTTTTAGGTTTGTCGAGTGGCCTATGAGATAATGCAAACGTTACACCCAGATGCTTCAGCCAATTTCCGTTCTCTGGACGACATCTATTACTTTGGTGGGCAAAATGCACACAATCAGATTGCAATTTACCCTCACAAACCACAGACTCCAGAAGAAATTGTGCTGGAGCCAGGAGATCTGATTGGCGTAGCGGGCAACCATTGGGATGGTTATTCCAAAGGTATCAATCGAAGAAATGGACGAACAGGACTGTACCCGTCTTACAAAGTGAAGGAAAACATTGAGACTATTAAATACCCAACCTACCCAGAGGCTGACAATGAGAAGCCACAGTAGCTACAATGACACTCCACAGCCTCAGTGAATGTATCTTGCCATAGATCTGAAATCCAGCCAACTTTTCATTCGAAACTCTATGGTCTCTGCAGATGCATCTGTCTCCCTCCATTGTCCTGCTGTTGGTTGTGTTTGGTTGTCTGCCATCAAGTCACTGTAATCCACAGTGATTGACACTGCGCCATTGTGCAGATTAGAGCATGAGCAAATGTGTGTTCAATCATGGTGCCTAACACTCTTTGACCTTTTGAACCTTTTGGAAGAATCACACCCAGCATTCGTACTGAGGTGTTTTGAACTCTGACCTAGAACAGAGGTTGAACATCGCAAACATAAAATTTGATCAGAAAGACTTAACCCATTCCATGGCCTGTCTGAAGCCCTCACAAGAGAAGTGATAGAGTACATTGAGTACATTTTTCTCCTTTCCAAAGGTAGACAAAGGAAGGAAGAGTCTGAATAATCCAGTGCACATCCACATTTCACAGATTTTTGTAAAAGCAAAATCATGGACAGAAACTTTAATACATGACGTTTCCAGACATTGTCTTTGATAACAAAAACAAATAAATAAAAATGAAACCAGTTAATACAGCGTTTTTAATCTTTATTGGTGGCCTGTTAGGTGTGGTGATATTTAACTCCAAAATGGAAAACATCTTACGATTTGTGGTCCCCAGTATTTCAGCCACTTGGTTTTCAAAAGCTATATGCTGATCAGCTCACCATGATGAACATTATTATTTTTATCTGTTGTTTTTATATTAGTAAGTCCTGCATTATCGGACTGCAAGAATATCAGCCTAGTTTTATAAAATCATAGTGAAATTTAAAACAATCTATTGAATTATTTATGGTGAGTTATTATGTGGATGCCTTTGATTTTACCTCTGGCAGAGTCATCATTTCTTTTGTGTTCTTTCTGTTTTCTGATTAAAGAGAATGCAAAATTAGCCCCAAAATCTGCTTTCCTCCAGATGCTGGTTTTAAGGGTACTTATCAACTGATTCTGGTTGTAGAGCACTATTTTTCTCCAGAAACCATTTTCTTGAGTTTGAGCCTTGCCATCGGCTTTTTAGCCAGCTACCTGATCACATTGCTGCCTGCAGTTGCAGCGTAGGTGAATGGATTATGATCGAGAGCAGCCAGCTTATTTCCCGTCTGTAGCCTAGGTCAACTGATTTATTAATGGTGGCATTTTTATATTTGCCCTGGCTGAGATCAGTAAACTGGGGAGGGGCAAGCAAATCAGCGGACCTCCTTGTGAGCCTGCTCCTGAGTTTGACCAAAGTAGCCATTAACAGACCCAAGCAGCAGGCAATTGATGAGATTCTTTGTGCCCGACTGTCTGCCTCTCTATCGCTGTTACGTCACAACCGGATGTCTGGTGAGAAGGAGTACGCTGTGCTCACTGGCACGATAGAGAACCAGTGGGCTCCGCAGGGGCTGGAGTGCAGCATCACCCCAGATAATGTTATTTTGATTTACTAAGTTTCCAGTCACTTTTCCATAAGTTTCCATTAACTGTTTGGTAGTGTTTTTGATACAGTGCTGCATCAGGTTTTGCAGAGTGTATTAAGCCAACTTTTGGTTTGTTCTGAAAGAGTAGCCTTGAGTCAAATGCCAGGTTAGCTTGTTGCATTGTCTCCAGATGGCTCAGTCACTCATTTCCAGCCATCTGGAAACGTTTGGAACCACCACATTTATATGTAATCTGTGCAGGTAGCCCATGGTATTGTTGACTGATATTCAGATGGCTCATTGTTGAATGATGAAAAGACCACACGTGGCCCCACAATTGTGAAACGGACGATGATAACCTGCCCCTGTATAACCACTTCAGATTCCAATTCCGATAACCAGGACCAACCTGAGATCACTCAGTTACCCTTTGATAAGGGAATGTTGCAGATTGGAAGATGCCTTTGAGGTTCCAGCTCCAGGTCAAAAGGGAAGACAGGAACAACTTCAACTGAATATTTTCCCTATCTTTCCTTTTCACATTTTCAACTGAGACTGTCCAACTTGAATATTGGCAATGACTAATCTCCCACAGTATTGCTCATATGCTGTTTATGCTGCAGAATATGGAACATAATGATAGAGTCCTTGCTTGCAATCATTGAATAAGACCAAAGGCACAGTTTGCAGAGTGTTTTAACAAGTGTGCTATTTTTGTGTTTAAATTCCACCATTATGTAAACATAGACTTTTACAGCACAGAAGGGAGCCATTCAGGCCTTTGTATCTGAACTAGCTTTTGGAAGATCTATCCTATTTGTCCCTCATCTCTGGTACCAATCCAGGAAATCTCATCTGTACCCATTGTAGAGCCTTGACATCGTTTCTAAACTGAGATTCGCAGAATTAGACACAGTACTTAACTGAAGCCTAAGGATTTAACCTCATTTCCTGGCATTTGTACTCAATGCTTCTCTTCATCCAGCCAAGCACTTCAGATGCACATACACCAGATGGACTGCATCGCTCGAAGATGACAGCTTACCGCCATCTTATCAAAGGCAATTAGGGATGAGCAGCAAAAGCTGGCCCAGCCAGCAATGTTCACGTCCCATGAAAGAAGGAAAACAGTTCACATCTGTTTTATGAGCCACCTTATCAATTTGTGCTGTGCCTTCAAATATTTCCATGTTAAACACCCAAGTCATTCTGTGCCTGCATCCCCTTTAACATTGTGTACTTATTTTATGTTGCCTCCCTCATTCACCCTTGCAAAACATCACCTTTCTCTGCATTAAATCTACCTGTCATGTGCCTGCCCACACTACTTCTCTGCAGTCACTACGTGCTCCCCAGCTCACTACTTTTCTGTGTTGTTCGAAAACGTTAGGAAAATGTGGATCTGCAGCTTTCATTATTGTTCAAATTTTGTTATGCAGTTGATTTTTCTTAGCCTTTTTTTAAAGCTCAGCTTGAAGAATACAATGGTGGTGACGATGGTCCCTGTTCAGGTGGGTAGGGCGTGGAACTGTATGTAACTGTAGTGGACATTCAGTCACCTCTGCAAATTGGTGGTGTTGGGTCTGAGCAACTCCTAAGACTGGAGATCATGTGTTGCACAGACACTTTGCTGAATAAGAGAACACTGTGAAGGTAATAAGGCAGATGAGGAAGGAATACACAGATCTGGTAAAATTAAGTGAGAACTATTTGGATAATAGGCTATTCTCTCATTAGAGAGAGAGAGACAGAGATGACTGATTGTTTAACCTGAGGGTCAACACACCTCAGGCGAGGGGAGGTTGAGAAAGAGGGTCACCCTGTGGGCATCAGTTAGTTCAGTTGGCTAGACGGCTGATTTGCAATGCAGAGTGATGCAAACAGTATGGGTTCAGTTCCCACGCCAGCTGAGGTTACCATCACCAGTCATCTTTCTCCAATGAGAGAGCAGTCCTACAAGCAAAATGACGGGATAGACAAGTACATTTTGTCATTTTCTGTGATAAAAAGCAATAATGAAATATTTTAGAAATGATTTCTTATTGCCTTAAAAATAAACCAGTTTTTTGATCCACAATTCATCTTTTGCCACTAAAATACTGAACTGCTCCCCAAAAGTTAGCAGGAATGCTCATGGGGTTACATTTGAGTATCCAGTACACACAACAGAAGTTCTCATTATGATGGTCCGTGGTTCACAATGCCCTGGTGTGCAGACTCCCTGTGGCAGCCAGATTTTAAAATTGTCATCTTTGTTTTTAAAAACCTCTGAAATAATCTCCTGCAGGTCTTACAACCCTGAGATCTCAGCAATGGGCCAATTCAGGACACTTTCACGTCCTGCCTGGAAGCGTGCTGGAGGCAGGCTCAACAGAAGTATTCAAGAGGACTTGGGATGAATTTTGAAACAGTAAAAATGTGAAACAGTTTGGGGAAAAGACAGGAGAATGGCACTTAATCATGATACTCATTTAGAGAGACAGTATATATGGGCTGAATGGCTTCCTTCTGCACGATAACTTGCTGTGATTTTCTTCGCTCCACCGTAGGCATATGGGCATTCAACTGATTCAGTCCAAAGCTCTGGAAATTCCCTCCCTAAAACTCACCTCTTCTATAACAATCGCTCCTCCTTTACTTCATTCTTTAACATCTACTCCTTTTAATAATCCATCCTAATATCTTAAGCAAAAACCGGAAATTGCTGGGAATCTCAGCAGGCCTGGCAGCATCAGTGGAGAGAAAGCAGAGTTCAAGGTTCAGGCCCAGTGACCCTTTTTTAGAACCTTCTGAAGAAGGACCACTGGGCCTGAAACATTAACTCTGCTTTCTCTCCACACCTGCTGCCAGACCTGCTGAGTTTTCCCAGCAATTTCTGTTTGTTCCTGATTTCTGGCATCCACAGTTTTGTCTTGACTGTTTTAACGTGGGGCTATGTCAAATTTGTTTTTAAAAATGCTTTTAAAGCTGTGTGTGGCGTATTTACTGTATTAAGGCTGCTATATAAATACAAGTTGTTGTTGACTAAATATTGGGGAGACTGAAGTCATTAATTTTTGATACCTACTCTAAACTCTGTTCCGTAGCTGGTAATTCTGTCATTTTGCATGGCAAGAGCTTGAGATTCAACTTATCCACATAAATAGCACATGATCTCTGATCCTCCTCGAGATACCTATATCAAAATTGTTTAGATAAGCAAATTAACAAGCACTCTTCACCCTGGTAGCTAACTACGGCTGAATTTTCTTGAATTAATGCAACAATTTCAAATGTTGTGTCCTGATGTATGTTAACAAACAACATTCATCACAATTCAACACAATGTCGAGAAGCACAATTCTGCTTTAACCTGTGCCAGCTGCTGGCTTGTAGATCATTTTTCAAACAGATTGCAGTGGGACTAATCCAACAGGATGAGCAGGCAGTCCATTTTACATCTTGTCTTAAGCAATGGAAATAAGAATCAGGTGAGAGGTAAAGTAGGCATGTGACTTGCGTTCACTTTTACCCTTTTGGCCAGTCTGACCCCAGTCGTGCATGGGATTTACCCTCTTGTATGTTGAATCTCAACATCATCTAGAGGCTGTGGGGGGAAAGAACATGGGAATGAGACTAATTGGGAACTTCCTTCAAAGAGCTGGCACAGGAACAATGGACCAAATGGCCTCATTTCGTACTGTGCCACTCTATGAAGGGTTTAATGCATCAACCATAGGGTGCTTCTACCAATGAGGTAACAATGGGGCGACTGAGAAGGTATCCTCTGTTTGCACATGTGTGCAGTCCTCAACCTCTTCCTGAGCTTACAAATTATAGGTAATTAAATCAAGTATTAAATGGTTGTACCCTGCAATTACTAGAGGATTGACAAATTTTATTAGTCGTCAAGATTTTGGTTCTGAAAGCAGATACCTTGTTGATAGAAATTTTTAAATATCTGAGTGAGTATAATTGCAATTAGTGCAGTTAGAAAGGACCGTTGAGTTTAAAATGCTCATAGTTGGCATTGTGTATGAATGTGCTACGTGATGTTTATTGGTGTAGTACTACGCGCATAAGTGATTACATTCATTGTTTTGTCTATACAACTGTGGCCGACAAATCAGCAGAGTAATGGTCTTCTTTG